TACTGGAACAGCATTTCCAGCGAATCGACATATTTGGCCTGAGCGTCTGCCAAGTCAAACACTTACTCAAATTCGTTCCTACTTCGAAGTACTTCAGTAGCAACAAATATTTTCGATTTGGGTGGCAGATCTATCATCAGCTTTAGGGCGTTGCAATGGGTAATAACCTTGCGCCCCCATTCGCAATACTGTTCACGCACGCTGTAGAAATGCGTCTTCTTCAGGATTCGCCTTTTCCACCCCTGATGGACAAGCGATATATTGATGATATCATTATTCTCCGCACACACGGCAAACGCCGCCTTATGGTGCTGATAGAGCGGTTCAACCCCATGCATGACAGGATCAAATTCACTTATGAACTGAGCTGTGACAAAGGCTACATTGACTTTATGGACGTGACAATCGCTATCCAGCAATCAGGTGAGCTGTTCTACAAGCTTTTCCAGAAGCCTTGTAACAGTGGGCTGCTGATAGATTACTCGTCAGCAGTCCCTCATCATGTGAAGATGGCAGTAGCCAAGTCGCAATTCCTGAGGGCGCAGCGACTGTCATCTGATGCCGAGATGCGTGCTGAGAGCGACAACAAGATACAGCGCCAATTACGCATCAATCACTATCCCGAGAATATCATAGCTGAGGCACGTGAAGCAGCCCGAAAGCCGAGACGCCGAGGAAATCCAAGTTGTGCATTTATTAACCCTTTAAAGGGGAAGTTAAGGCAAAAATTAAAATTTCACCAGTTGTAGTCTTCGGGGTGCTGAGTCGAATGGTCGTGGTCCGAGGAAGCTGAGACGCTCCCTTCCTACTTGAATCCCAATCGAACTCGCGTACTTCCACCGAAACTGGGTGACTGCGCCCTACTAGATGGGGATTTGTATGCAAAATGTCACTAAAAGCGCCATTTCGTTCTTATAAAAGCACGGATGACCGCGATTGGCCCATATGTTGTAGTCTTTTGGACGCTGAGTCGACTGGTTTTGGTCCGAAAAGGCTGCGATACGGCGTTCCTCCTTTATTCCCAATCGAACATGGTCGAAGAAGCGGTCACGTGCTCCTGCGTACACCAGTCACCTGGTCACCGTGCCTGCAGGGTACAACTTACTAGCCTGTTTGACCTTTTTTGGGTGCAGTCCTGTCACTCGAGTTGAACCCGAGTTGAACCTTGGTGTGAAAGTTGTCACCTGCTGGCGTGGTGACCAGGTGATTTGGGCACCCAGGACCACGTGACCGCTTCTTCAACCATGTTCGATTGGGAATAAAGGAGGAACGCTGCATCGCAGCCTTTTCGGACCAAAACCAGTCGACTCAGCGTCCCAAAGACTACAACATATGGGCCAATCGCGGTCATCCGTGCTTTTATAAGAACGAAATGGCGCTTTTAGTGACATTTTGCATACAAATCCCCATCTAGTAGGGCGCAGTCACCCAGTTTCGGTGGAAGTGCGCGGGTTCGATTGGGATTCAAGTAGGAAGGGAGCGTCTCAGCTTCCTCGGACCAAGACCATTCGACTCAGCACCCCGAAGACTACAACTGGTGAAATTTTAATTTTTGCCTTAACTTCCCCTTTAACCGTCATATAAATGTCACCCATTGAAACGCCGAACGAAATTTCAACTTTGCCAGGTCATAACTGTAGTTGTACTCACTCGATTTTTATAATCTTGGGCTCGTTGGAAAGCTCTGGACGAGACCAGCACGATGATACCACATTCTTCGCCTCAGCAGTCACACAACCAGCGCTGGAACGCAGCGACGTCGTCTCAACGCCAGGCATGCAAATGACAAGTTCAAAACTCCGCCATGGCCGTCTCCTTCATCGTAGAGTGTTCAAATTTTTTTGAGAGATCGAGCATTTCGTGAGGAATACGTTGGTCGCGAGCAAAAGTCACAGAGCGCGTGAAGAAACGGGGAAATCCCGTGACGACGTCAGCCGCGCGCCCAGCGCAGCGGAAGTGACAAGCGTGCAGTACTCAGCGCTTGATAACTCTGCTCCACTACATCGTAGCTCAACGCGGATTTCTGCAACAGAAAGCCTGGAAAATTCGCGACCGAATCGATAGTAAATTTTCTATCGTGGGTAAAAAATCAATCCAGTGCGAGTATTTCAAATGATGGGTCGAATTCGACCCACAAATGTATGGTCTGACGGTTAAAGGGTTAAACTGCCACTCTAGTCTGATCAAATCCATCATGAGGTCAGTAAAGCCATTCGGAGGTATAAATTACCGGTGAGGGTTGTTTATGAACCTTCAGGCGGTCTCCGTCGCCAACTGTGTCACTCTGCACAGTCACCACCCACATGTGTCAAGGAGCCAAATATTACTCAAGGCAGGAGACGAGGCCGTCCACTAGGTCCGTGTTTGACTTGTAAGTCCGGAGGAGAGCAAGCATGCATGCAAAAGAATGTTCTCTACCATCTGCGATGCAAGTGGTGCACAGAAAATTATGTTGGGGAGACTGAGAGATCTTTGGAAACTAGACTGATTGAGCATAATGGAGAAGCACGCCGCCGTACCCGTGACAAACCGTGGGGTGAGCACATGCGCACCAAGCATGCCCGGAAGCGACTAGCGCTGGGGGACGCTGTATTTGCGGACATGTCGGTATTAGCAAGAGAAGGTGACCGAGCGAGCAGAAAGTTGCGAGAAGCTGTGGAGATAAGGACCTTGGGACCTCAAATCAACACCAATGCTGGCTGGGGATTTCTTTGAGCATGGCAGCTCAGTGTTACTCACATCTTAACTACGAACATATTACAGTGTGCACTTGGGTGACATTTGACACTGCGTTGTGCACGCGCAAGCTCGCACGTGTGAAAGCACTTCTGACTTGCGTGAAGTTATCACCACATTGATAATTCAATTTTGCACGTTTTTGTTTGTTGTTGTTTAGGGCATCACACTTTTAGGTTTTATGGTCAGAATACGTCACAGCGGGTTCGATGTAGCACAGCATACTTGTAGTAGTAACATATAACTGCTCCTTCGCAAGCTTGCATATCATTGTATACCTGATGAGGGCAGTTTGCCGAAACGTACTAACTGCTTGACACTGCCTTGCGAGCAGTCTTCACCCTTGTCACACCGAGTGTATCTTTTTGGAAACTACTTCAAAAAAAGTATTCTTTTATCACGTAGCTCAACATCATCAAATCATTATCCCCTTACTTTAATCTATCCGGCACGAGCAAACCTGTGGGTGGACCTAATCGATCCACCGACTTGAACACGGCAGTACTTAATAATAATAACTGATTGACAATAGAGTTCGATATTGCAGAGTGAATGGAAAAGAGCGGTCTGCTCTGAAACCGTTTTCCTATACTAAGTAAACTCTCAAGCTAATGATAAGTTGCGACACTCCTATAGTGGTGATGTGTAAGGGGGGGAGGGGACTGACCAAAAGAAGAGCAGTGTGGAGCGGTAGAGCCAGCTATAAGTTTCAAGTTCTAGAAATTAAAGCCAGGCTGAGTCAAACTGACCAGTGGTAATCATCCAGCAGCTCAGCGGCTCACTTCTCAGCTTACCTTCCTGGCCCAGGCTGGCGTTCCGGCCTCGAGCTGCGACTTTGGCAGCGGCTGCAGGGGCTGCAGGTGGCCTTTCTCCATCTGTTGTTCCCTATGCCGCGTGGCAGCGACGGCAAACTGGGACAGCTACAGGCAGCAATGAGGAGAACAATCGCAACAATGACGATCATCAGCAGATGCAATGGTATGCAAGAGGAAAGTGAACAATGCAATGCGCAACAAGATCAACGCATCTTGAACTAACACACAATCCCAAAAGGGACAACGAAGGGCTGCATACTGAAAGACCACGTATCTCGATGTCATTTTAAAAATATTAACAATCTCCGGATTTTTGATGGTCAGCGAGGTGAAATGATCACGAAGTCTGGCAGTCAAAACCGGCACATGACTGTACATATTACATACATGTGCATCGCTTTCGCACATGCCGGTGACAAGTTCAAAATTCTAAAGGACGCCTCACGCAGCTTCACAAGACCAAACGTTGACATAATCCTGGATTATGTGCGCAATGCAGTGCATACTTTAGTGTAGGTAACTTTTGAGTGTAGGCGAGTTTCTCGCACATGATTCAAGATTGTTAAATCGATAAATTGAAATGTTTGTCAATAAAAGCAGTCCGCAACACAGTACACAGCCATGGTTCCATTGCTGCAAGCCTGATAAGCAGCTCAAATAAATAACCCAACACGAGCAAGAAACGCATGGTTGGGAGCTACATGCCTTTGAAAGCTAGCCTTGCCCAGGCCCATGGCACCAAAGGACAAGGACACAAGAGATTTCTCACTCTCCTCGGCCAAACGTGGCGAGCCCTGGATGAGTACCCTTAGCCTTTAATCGATGGTGTCATAGAGTGCAGTTAAAAGATAGCACCAGCATAGGCAAGCAGACGTACAGCTGTGCCGCTGTTAATTAAGCCTGACGAGAGACACTACAGCTAGCAGTCGCCTTGACAGGCTGCAACGGTGCCTTCGCCTGTTGACTTGCAATCATACCACTGAAGTAATGTTGAACAGAAATGATACACACTACTAGTACCTCGCCAGCTCCAATTCAAGTCTGCTGGAATGTCCACCATAGTTTATATGATAAATTTTATAAAATGAGCATTTTTTCAACTCCAGGTCAGTCTGATTGATTCGTATGCAAGCCATATTGTTTCAAGGCAAGCAATAAAACGCTCCCCCCAAGCGAAACTAATGGGCGAGAGTGAACACTCCTGACCAAACGTAGGTGTCACATACCTCTGCCTTGATTCTCGCCAGTTCCGAAATGGCGCCGAAGTCGTGCGGGTTGAGTTCCAGGCGCTTCTGCAGCTCACCGTGGCGAATCACTAGCCTGGTATCCAGCTGGGGCTGTACACACACCATTGTAGCAATCATACAGGAGCCAGAGCATTAGAACCAAAGCATTGAAGAATTCATTACAGAGTGGGGCTACCAACACAAAAAGTGCATCTCATACAGTGGATTTCAATGCAGAGTTCTTCAAACTAATGCTGGTGGTAGGTTGTTGCCGGCACACACAAACTATAGTGCATTCGTCAAATCTGGGCCCGTGGGGGGGGGGGGGGGGTTATGCTGGTTGTAGGTTGTTGCCGGCACACACAAACTGTAGTGCATTCGTCAAATCTGGGCCCGTGGGCACTGGCTTTCTGAAACCGTGTGTACCATAGCAATGTGTGCTGCAGCTACAAGCTCATAAGGGGCCGTCGGTAGATATCGATATTTTTTATCATGAAGCAAATTAATTTCGTTTCAACTCAACCCCTTCCTCCCTGCCCCTCAGAACGTAAAAAATCTTGACATTATACCAGTTAACATATACATGCATATACATATACATGCATAATTATTAATTATACAACAAAAGTCGCACGCGTGTCACTGCTCCTACTTCCATGTACATGTATCAATGTTTTCTGGAACGAAATTGGCCAACCCCCTCCCACCCCATAACGAAGATATTCTGTTTCGCGAAGAAGTTCGATATTTATGGACGACCCCTAACTTCAAAATTAAATTTACAGACAGATTGCACGACTCACCACGGGTGGAAGCGGTGCGGCCGGCCGTCCACTCGGCGCACTGGGATCAACCTGAACACTGTCGGTAGCCGGTGACTCCTCAGCTTGCACGTGCTTCACGCCGGTCGACACGGGGAACGACTGTTTAAGAACGACCGGGTTCCGAGCCCTCACCTGAGCCACGATCTCGCTGATGTTGACGAAGCCGGACGGCAACGACGACGACGATGATCCGGTCTGCGTGGAGTTGCCGGCTGTAATTGCTAGTTGCGTGTCTGTAGAGCGGTTCAAGGCCCCGGCTTTGGCCTTGGCAAGGCTGCTGACACTGGGCAGCGCGAACGGATGACGGACAGGCCGAGACGTCTCACCGTCAGAGCTATGCTCATCGTCGCTTCTCTTACTGCTGATCTTGGAGCAGAGGTTGGTAAAGCGAGCCAGGCCGGTCGGCAGTACAACCTGGCCGACCACACCGCTACTTGCACTGTCCTGTTGCTGGCTGGTTGCTACAAGGGCACTGTCCGTATTCGTTGCAAACACCTGCCTTTCCGGACTCTGCACCTTAGAGCTACCTTGGCTCGGTGATGCTGGTGGCGAGTCACGTCCGTACCGGGCCAAAAAACGGCTTCTACCCGGCGGACTCCTGGAGAACTGAGAGCGATATCTTCGTGGAGACCTAGGTGAAGAGTGCCTCGGCGATCGTGACCTGGATCTTTCCGGCCGTCGTCGTGGAGACCGAGATCTGTATCGCCGCGGCGAGATGGATCTACTTCTACGAGGCGTCCGCAAGCGGTATCTCCTCGGTGATCTGGATCTGTTCCGGCGCGGCGAACGGGATCGGTATCGGCGAGGGGACTGAGACCTATCTCTGGTGTGTCTGGTACGCGAGCTGCTGCGATATCTCGATGATCGCCGGCGGTACGAAGGCGAGCGGGAACGATAGGATTTCGAGGACCTAGAAGTACGTTGTCGTGGCGGCGAGGACCGATGACCGGAGCGGTACGACGACACTCGATGGCTACCCCGCTGCGGACTGGCACCGGGAGCGTCAGTTTCCGCTGCTGCTGTTGCTGCTGCTGCGGGAGCGTGTCTCCGTCGGCCGCGATGGCGCGGAGATCTAGAGCGGCGATCACCGCGTCGGCCTCTACTGCTGCGAGACTTGGGCGACGGCGAAGCCGACCAGCTCTCGCACGAACACGACCGGGTACGGGGTCTGTGGCGATGGCGACTGCTGGACGCCTTGCCGCTTTCGTCACCGTGCTCGTGGTAGCGCGGGTGGTGGTGATTCCCCTGGCAACTGCTGGCGTGCACGGGCGACGCGCTGTTGCAATCCGGCGTGCAAGCGCCGACGGAACGCGTCACTTCCGTGGGACTGCTGCTCGTGTCCGCGCCCTGCGTCCGTGTGCCGTCCTCTGCCGGCTTTTCCAGGTCGCTGAGGCTGACGCCGGTGACGCAATCGTTCCACACGTCGTCCGTCTCCTGTGAGATGGGCTCGACCACTGCCTTTGGCAATGACAGCCTAGCCGGCAAGAATCCTGCCATCTTACGAGCTGGACCCGCTGCATCGTTAGAGGCCAGCTCCGCTCTTTCATCACCACCAACACTTTTTGCGGTTTCCGGCTCTGGCTGTGTTGGGTCTACAGCCTCCTGCGGCTCTTTTACCGTGTATGTGTCATCACTTTTAACTTCTACCGCGTGTGGATCCACAGCACACGCCTCGGTGTCTACAACAGGCACGACATCATTATTGTCATCCTCATCACCAGTATTATTCTCAACTTCTTCGTGGCTGCTGTTTCCAACGCTTCGCTCCCCAGCTCGCTCTTCTGAAGAATCTAGCTGTCTCTGTCTCCTGTGGTGATGCCGTCTCTTCTTCTTCCGCCGACGACTGAGAGAGTCCTCTCCGTCTGACGCAGTCTTCTCAGGGTCGTGTCTCCTCTTGTGGTGTTTTTTCTTGTGATGACGCCTCACTCTCTCGTCGTCATTTTTCTCCTCTTTCTCCTCACCTGGGGACTTATCTCTGCGGTGTTTCCTCTTTCTACTGGCAATGGCGTCGTCTCTCTGCTCATCATCTCTTTTTTCCATCTTTGTTTACTGCATTTGTGTTACTATTCTCATCAGTGCAGTATTCAACTCTCGACCTCATTGAAAAATTAAAAAAATTGAAAAAAGAATGTTTTTGTTTTGTTTTGTTTTTGCGGTGCAGAAAATATTATTATTTAGAAACTACCGCGTACCGGTTCGTACACTGTCTGTATGTCACATGTGGTTCTACACATATGCATGCATTGCACAGCGCGCTAGCGCACAGTACACAAGAAGTGCACGTGCGCCACGTGCGTGATCTGATCTGACCGAAACGACGCGTCGACGGGGTACGAGTCGTACCGGTACGTAGATTCTACGTAGATCTACGGACGCTAGTCGCTAGCGCGGACGCGGACGAGAGAGTTGTAGTTTGGCCTTTCCATCAGTTCATGTGAGTTTGGGCGACGTCATGCATCATCGTCATCGTCTGGTTTTCTCGAGCTGATTTTCGAAAAATTAATGATCATTCTGTTGTAGCTAGCTAGCTCTTGAACATAACTTCGAGAAGCAATAATATTATTATCTGTTGGTCCAAATTTTCAGAATGCTACCATTTCAGCCGTCGATCTCACCTTCCACGCAACTAATCATATAAACTCGTGCTTTGGTTTGCCAGAAAGTGCTGAAGAATCCCTGGTCTGAGCTGGAGCTACTAGAATGTCGATTTCCGTCAGAATTGACAAAGGAGAAAATGGACTCGTGGGCATCACCATTGGTGGCGGACCTCCACTTTGTCCAGTGGTGTACATCGTCCAAGTCTTCGATAACACGCCAGCGCAAAAGAGCGGCCAGCTTGAGCCCGGTGATGAACTCCTCAGTGTGAATGGGAAACCCGTCACTGGTATGACCAAAACGCAAATTGCGAAGAAAATCAAGTCGATGGGAGTAAGTGCAATCCTAAGAACTATGCATGAAGTATTGATTGAAGTACATTTACCCCGAATTCCCCATTAGCCAGTTTTATCAGGACGTTAAACTGTACTGCTGCAAGAGCCAATCATTTTAGCTGTGAATAAAACAGGTACGCGTACATGTAGAGTAAAACCTGTCAAGGCGACCACTCTGATAAGGCGACCACTTACTAGTACCTCAGAGGACCACTACAACTAGGACAAAGGGGTGTTATTTCCAGGGAAATGACCCTGGATAAGAAGGCCACCTGTACCCGGAGACCCCAGTTGCAAGGTCCCTTGGGCAGTCGGCTTGTAGGCTGGCTTCACTGTATGCACCTTTATCACGCAGGCCGTACTTGCGCAGTTAGAGGCCCCGGACATTACATCACGTCGCCTACATTGTCAACACCGAGAAACGCCGGTCCACCTTACATCTTGGTTACAATCCTGACGATGGCTCACATTCAGTCTCCGGCAATTAGCAACGTTCAAGATATTTGACAATGTCCTCCAGTTGAAAAGCAGACGCGACATTTCGATGGTACATCTACACCATGAGATAAGAACTTCAACCATGAAGCAATTATTTTCCTCGTTCCATCAAGCTTGCTTCTTTCCTGATCTTTGAGTTTGAACTTTTTCGAACAAGCTGAGAGCCTCTGCCCGTTGCCATAGTAATGATGAGAATCCTTCGTCAAAATGAGTACTTGAGACGTGAGTGAAGTGTACAGTGTGGACATGTTTTTACATGAACGGCAGCCAGTCGAGTGAAACGTGTGATCGGGTGACCGTAGTGTGAATGCCCTATTAACGTAAAGTACCGCGAGAGCGCCCCGTCTCGCCAGAGCGCCCCACCTTAATTTTACAGCCAAGGGAAGAACATCATATGGCAGAGTGCTTTGTAAGTTTGTACAGTATGGGAAACTTAGTGTACTAAGGTCACACTTAGCATGTTTTTTATGTGGAGCTCGCATCCGTTCAAAGGTAAACTGGGTACGGATTGACTGCACAGTGTGCAATGTGTGTACAAGGTCCGTGTCGTATATAACCTACAGACAGGAAACCACCTCCGCAAGACGACCACGAAAGGACGAGATGGTGGGGCGCTCTGCCGGGGCGGTACTTTACGGTACCGCCATTTCCCTGGTCTGGAGTCGAGTTGGGTCCAAAATTGCGTCCGTGTTTCAAAGGGTGCCTTATAAGGAATTCAGGATAAGCAAAAGTGAAACCACTCTACGATGCATTAATGGTCATACAGATCAGGTGGCTGCTAAAAGTAGGTAGCTGCTGAAAGCAGGTGGCTGCTGAAAGCAGGTGGTCGCGTGACCAGTTTTCCCCTGAACCGTAAAATTGCTGGCGCCCACCGAGTCGGACTCCCGTGAACAGACTGAGCAAGTTTGTTTTCATCATAGGTCTGCACCACTACACTATAGTATAGGCTAAGCAGTCCGATGTGGCTTGCGATTCTTTTTCAATTCTTCTCCACAGTCACCGGTCCACCTGGAAATCCGAAAGCTGCAGACGGACCCGAAAGAGTACAAATCACTGGACATTGGTAAGTGTGCTCTTGACCGTGTGGCGTCCTCTCTTTTTGCCTTGTTTAAAAGTTGCTATTATTGGTGCCTTTTCACCTTAGTGGCGAATGCAGACCTCACAAGTGAGTCAGGGGAGAGGAGGTGAATCTCTCAACCAATCGGGCATGTAACGGCCCATAACCCTGTAAACTGCATCCTTGTTATCCTCACTCCGAGCTGTGAGTACCCAGTTGACCTTGGGTGTCGGCGCAGTTCACTAAGGTGAAAAGGAAGCGAAGACTATACCTTGTGTGTTTCTGAACATTCAAGTGATGCTAAACGCGGATCCCGCGAATATTATTATATTATTATTATTATTATTGGTGCCATATTGAGTAAGGGGACACTGTAAAACATGTAATTGTCTGTGTAACTTTAATTTCGGTGATTTCGGTAGAGAAACCAGGCACCTAAATAATTTAAATTTCACCTAAAAGGCACTAGAGTATGCACTGTATGTGAACGGAACGCTGGTCACCTATCTACATTACACCTGAAACCTGGCAGGTCCCTGGCACCGAAATTTTAATGCACCTAAAATTACATGTTTTGCAGTATTCATTGATGGTCACGAAACTAAGAACTTTCGTTTTTGGTGGAGGGTCAAGAACAGGTTTGTGTTGGAGAGAAAATGTCAATAGTTGAAATATAGCTGGTGTACCGGGTTTCAGTCACTTCACGCAACAGCATGAGCCAGTATACCCCATGGAGGTGCGAACAACAAGCGCTAAGGACCGCTGGCCATTCACAATGTTGTTTCTCTCCTGACCAGCTAGTCGCAAAACCGCGCTGGGTACAACAGTACAACACCGTGCACCTGTATTTCGTACCGTTGCAAGAAGCGTGAAGCACCAATCCTAGAAAATGTGCTGCATATGTACGCTCAACAAAAATGTAAATTTTGCCTGTGTGGGTGTTTGTGCGCATGTGGATGTGTGTGTGGATGCTCGTTTGCGTGCTTTTGTGCATATACAGCATTGAAGAATATCAAGCATCGAGTAGTGGAGTCCATGTCGCAGCAGACTGCGGACACTCTGGGCTTGAGCCGCGCCATTCTTGTCAACGGTAAGGGCAGTTCTTTTCCTTGTCGCCGGCAGTGCCTCACTTCCTCCGTAGCCTTCAGAGTTTGTTGCTGATGCTGCTCTACATCCCTTGAGAGCTGCCATAGTTTACAGAGTATAAACCGCACTTTGAACACCAGCAATTCGCCCGAAAAAGTCGGCGAGGCTTATACTACAAATACAACGGTCAAATTAACCATGATAAACAGGGTGGATGTCTGTATGTTCGTGACAAAAACATCTGGGTGGTTCGTATATTCTGGAAAACACCGTACTTCAAAGTATGTTTTAGTGTAGTTTCACTGTGCATGGTGTGCGTGGTCATGACTCGTGCAGTACAGTGTCCATCTGCTTGGCTGTGTTGTTGTGTGCTTGCTGACAGATGACATGATTCAGAAGTTACAGCATTTGGAAAAGAACACCAAAGCATACCAAGGTAAGTGGTGGCCGCGGTGCAGATGTATGTGCGTGAAAGGGACAGGCTGACCAATGACCGAATGGCGGTGCTATCAAGCACCCGGGGCTGTGGCGTGTGTGTATGTGTGTGTGCGCGTGTGTGTGTGTGCGCGTGTGTGTGCGTGTGTGTGTGTGTGTGTGTGTGTGTGTGTGGTCTGAAGCGGCGACCTGAAACGCCATCAGCCATTCTGTGGTGGACTGGAGAAATAACATGGGCAAGGTCAAGGTGTGTGTGTGTGTGTGTGTGTGTGTGTGTGTGTGTGTGTGTGTGTGTGTGTGTGTGTGTCTGCACCTTGTCCTCACCCACTTACTGAGGTGTGGTGAGCCCATAAGTGGGATCATTTTCAAGTCCACCCAGAGTTTTGGGGATTTCAGGGGGTGTCGGCCGTTGGGCGGTTCAATAGCCAGTTGAGTCATCTTTCCAAGATTCCTTTGGAGTCTCTCTCCCCTCTCCCGGGGAGACCCACGTGACCAGTTTTGGCAGTGAGCAACAAGTACAAGTGTGTGTGTGTGTGTGTGTGTGTGTGTGTGTGTGTGTGTGTGTGTCCCATATGGTGCAGTGGTATGTGTAGCGATTTCCAATCGATAGGTTGCGGGTTCGATTCCCGACGATTATGGTCACACACGTCTTTCTTCTCTTTCTCAGCCTCTTCCTGACTTTTCTTTCATTCTCCTGGGTGGTTACCAACAGCCAGTGCATGCCGGAGTATGTGGTGTGATGTGTGTGCGGGAAAAAAATAAAAAAGACCAAAAGTAGGGATTCACTGGCCAGAAAAAGCCACTTCATAGCTGTGTGGTGTAGACCAGGCTGAATAGTGGCGGCCAATTCTTCAGTCTTGCAAGCTGTTGAATGGTGCAATCCCAGCACAAGTTGCTATGGCTTCTGCTGTAGCATCGCTATCGTCGTCTCTGGCGATGGGCGTCCAATGGTCAAATGGTGTGTGTGTGTGTGCGTGTGCGCGCGCACGTGTGTGTGCGTGCATGCGCTAGTTTGAACTACATAATTATGCTAGTTTCTGATACTGTACAGGCAGAACATTTCGTCGGTCAATAATTTCGTCCCACTCCAAAGAAAGGGAGTTCGTCCGGTGGAAAATTTCGCCCATGGATCATAAGAGTGTATTGAAAAGCTGGACAAATCGACATTAGTCCGGCATTTAATTTAGTCGAAAAGCTCCTTGGACGAAAAAGACGAAATTAAATTCCAGACGAATATTTCTACTTATACAGTATGTTTGTGTACCTCGCTGGCATACACGCACATGGCCTATACATGAGACTACTAGGTGGAAGGCACATGCAGGCATGTGTAGGTATGTTCATGGACAACCCTACGGCACTGATGTCGGTCGCCGAAGAACTAGAGGGTCAGCCTCCTAGCCTAGACTGTTCTTATTTTCATGTATTGCAGTCCATGCACAGTTGAGTCGCCGTGTATACATTGGTTTTGATTTGTATGCTGTGCTTGGTGAAATTCTAGCCTGGTCGTTCTTCGGCGCTCCGTTCTTCGGCGCTCCGTTCTTCGGCGCTCCGTTCTTCGGCGCTCCGTTCTTCGGCGCTCCGTTCTTCGGCGCACCGTTCTTCGGCGCTCCGTTCTTCGGCGCACCGTTCTTCGGCGCTCTGTTCTTCGGCGCCCGGCAGTACTGTACCCATAGTTAATAACTTAGTATACCCACTCACGGGGTGTGCAGACTGCAGTGCTCGCAATAAAATACAATGTACTCGTAGTCCGTTTGTGACCAGTGCGCTTGAACTTGACGCAAGAAGGATATAAGTTGTGACTTGTGGTGCTATCACCTTCTTTGTCTGCGGCTTTTACAGAGCTCGCCAAGCGAATTCACGGTGCGCTAGTTGTGTACAAGGAGCAAGCCACACTCAACCGAGGTCAGTATGTGCATCTGTTTGTAGCGCGTGTATTGAGTGCGCCCAGGGGGTCACTAGTAATGCGTATGTTCATCTAGAGTGTATTGTTTATGTACATGCGCAGAAGCTGTGGACCAGCTCATGCACGCTCTGACGGCGTGTGTAAATAATGTTGGGCTTGCGTGAATTCTGTCTTGCACGTTCCCTTTTGTACTTGTACAAGTAGTTCGTCTCTCTCTCTCTCTCTCTCTCTCTCTCTCTCTCTCTCTCTCTCTCTCTCTCTCTCTCTCTCTCTCTCTCTCTCTCTCTCTCTCTCAGTCTACGTCTTTCTCTTTCTGGTGTTCCTATATTCTAAATATATTCCCAAAAGTTACGTTTTTTTGCTTATCTTCATTCCTATTCTGCAGAGATTGGTGATATTTTTGCTGAGCTTGCGGTGCACGAAGTACAGCCCAATGCAAGCAAGGCATTCACTCTGGTCGGCGAATCCCACCGGTAGGTTATACCAAGGAATGTGCTATTGTCCTCTTGCGTATCGTAGTACTAAAGACATTCAGCATAGCGAAAGCTCCCGGAAATGTCTGTGGCATCAGCCGCAAATATAATTTGTTACCTGTCATGAAAAGTTGTTTTGTAGAAATTCCCGGAAAGATAGTATGGTTCAGTTGATGGCCAATCCCTGGCGGAGAGAGTGTGTGACACAGGAAATTTCCTTTTGCGTCCGGGCCGATTTCTTTCTTGCTCCGAAATGGGAGTGACATGAAATGGCGTGCTTTCAGCAAGTAACGTTACACGCGTGTTACGGCGAGTTTTCATGTTGTGAAATCTCTCCAACGCTGGCACTGTGTTCATCTTCATAGGCTGGATTGTAGAACTGTGTGTGCACGTGGCGGGGTGTTTCGGGACGTCTGGGCTGCTGGTTATGTGTGGTGGTTTATGCTGTGCTAAGTGGGGTGGTGAGCGCGGGGGTGAACCCGCTGCCTTGTTATTCAGCATCTCTGCTCGTTTGGTCCTGCGATAAAAATGAAAAACAAGTAACTTCCTAGAACAATGCCACGATCCTGTACTTCTGTGGTGCCAATACACCTTACCAATACCAATACATCTTTTCTGACTGGTTTCGCCTCTCTGTTTAGGCAATTTAGCAAGACTGGACTGGAATTTGTTCAGGAAGCCAAACCGGTGAGTTCATCGTGCATCGATAATTTACTGATGCCGGTACACGATGGTTGTAGACTGTAGTGCCACGCTGACGTATATGTACGGTGTGCGGCTAGTAGTGATGCAAGAAATTTTCGAATTATTCGAGTACTCTAGAATACCGGCACCAGAAAGAATATTCAAGTACAGGCAGCAATTCGAAAATTCTAAAAATTCACACTTTATCGTTGTGTTATTTAGCTCCAAACTTGAATGAGGCTTGATCTCCTGAGCACTCTTGAGAATGATAGGGTAAAAATTATATTCTGGGAACTGTGAAGCTTGTTCTTAGATCAAATCTGCTCTTTTTTTCCACATGCCAAACGAAGAAATGGGATAATACGTGCCCGCCAACAATACAGTCACGCGGCAGCCCCATAACAATTCTTACCCGGTGCCAACAAGTTGCATCCCCGAGTTCCAATTGAATTACAGCTGACGCCACGGCTTCTAATGGTTGTCCATTTGCTCCAATTAGTTTCGGGCCTTGGTCAGAGGTTTCCTTGTCCAGCTCTTTAGTCAGGCAGTCGACAGAATCCTCTGACAACAAGGTAGCGGCGGATCCTGTATCAATTAGAGCGTCCACTGGACATCCATTCACCGCTCCAGGCACCAGCATATCCAAACGGTCACTCGCATATTCATCCGAACAAGACAAAACACAAGGATTGGGCAGCTGATAGTCGTTACACACAGGTTCTTCTACCAGGACCTCCGGTTTCCTGTCCCCCGCAGAAACAACAGTAGTTGTCTCCCTTGGCGTAGCAGTCATAAGATGTCTTATGGCGTCTAACGCCCTGGTCTGCTCTGCTGTCAATCCTTGGGGGCGGGCTGAGGGCCTGGGGGGTCTCTCTAGCTGACCGGCATCACTACACCGTATGCCGGTCAGTGGAAGTTTCCCTTGCGGCTTCCCCTGAAAGAGTGAGTGCCAGCTAAAGTTCCAACCAGGTGTACGAAATAAGGAGGCGCCAGGCCTTGGGTGAAAACATAGAATAAAGTGGGTTAGGCAATCTAGTCATGTGGAGACTTAAAAGGCCACCTGTCGATAGCATGGATACGACACTTTGACGTGCTCTGTATGCAACATGAGTGCTGAGTCTAATTGAGTGAAGTGATTACGCACATCAGAAGCATAATAGTATTTGTTAGTTCGTCAAAGCAACATTCGAGAGAATATTCGTTTGAAGAAAACACCATTTGTTGCATCACTAGCGGCTAGTGATCTTGTCGTTGTGCTGGATCTTATGTGTGTGTGTGTCTGTCTGTCTGTCTGTCTGTCTGTCTGTCTGTCTGTCTGTCTTTGTGTGCCTGTGTGCTTCTGTGTTTGTCCACAGCTACTATCCGATATGCACACGTTTCTCACCAAGGTACGCACGGCTACCTGCTACACCATCACTGGTTTATGTTCGCTATGGGCCGAGCCATGGTGCCCTGATACATTTCTGCTGGGTGTAATCATTACACCATTCAACAGCTTGCAAGGCTGATGAATTGACAAACACTAAATTTAGCCTGGTCTCCTCCACACAACTGATTGAAGCGGCTTTTGCACCCCCGCGTGCATACACAAACACACACGAACACATGTGCACACACACACGCGCGCGCGCACACACACAGGCACACAACAAGTGTACCAACCAATGGCAAACTCGGGTCATTTTTGTCCTCGAACTCTGCTTTGTGGGGGGGGGGGGGGCATCATTGAAGTTGAAAATGGGAATTTCCCCCGTGATTTTTTACTCGCTTTCTTCTCTCTTGTTACACAGGCTATACCAGACACAAGGTTGACGGTGAAGAAATATGCCAATATCAAATTTGAGTATTTAGTAAGTATGATGGTGATGTCGGCACGTAACGTTACTTCTTCTCTCTCGGATGTTTGATTTGATTTCCCAGGCCAGCAGTCGGTATTGTCGCTCATTCTTGCTTCTATTTTTGCTGTGCTTGTGTGTGTGTGTGTGTGTGTGTGTGTACCCGTACGTGCCGTATGCAGTCGTATTGCTTAAAAGCAAAAGAAATGGATGACGAGGAAGCCACATACTATGTAAGTCTGTGCCTGTCAGTGTTCTGCCCCCCCCCCCCCCCCATTGCACTGTCTCCAATAGAAATTTCTAGCAGTTACATTTCTTTATGTCTGCACCACTATCTACGGTCTCTAATACCAGGCATAGTGAATCTTAACCCACTACTGAAGTACATGTAGCTTTGTTGCAATTGCTTGGCATGCACGGCGTTGACCACGGCTGATTGCTTTACCAGTATGCTACTGTGAGTAGGGCTCGTTGCACAAGAATGTGTGTGTGTGTGTGTTCCTGTGTCTGTATACGTGTCTGTATGTGCACGTTTGTGTACCCATGTATGTGTCTGTGTGTGTGTGTGTGTGTGTGTGTTCCTGTGTTTGTATGTGTCTGCATACGCATGTTTCTGTACCAATGTATGTGTGTGCGTTCCTATGCCCTTGCAGGCTATGCACGAGCCCCTGTATCGTGTTTACACCGGCAACATGGAGTACCGGTTAGTTTCTCGCTCCGTCACTGTTACTGCTTGGAAAAACTGCAGTTAGCTTACACTTCAAAGAATGTAGCGACCTCGTGTCCAGACCGGATGTTCTTTTCTGAGGAGAAAAAAGCTGGGCTCTTATTTTCGTTCTTCAGCCAGTGATGTGTTCAAGTGGCTGGTCATGTTTTCTGGATGCAGTGTATCCGTTGGGTTGCATGTCCTATCAGAGTGGCAGCCCTCGTCATCTTATGGACGTCTTGATCAATGCCTGCCATCCTATGATACCCTGCTCCTTTGTTCAAGAGAGAGGGGGAGAGAGAGAGAGAGACAGAGACAGACAGAGAGAGAGAGAGAGAGAGAGAGAGAGAGAGAGAGAGAGAGAGAGAGAGAGAGAGAGAGAGAGAGAGAGAGAGAGAGAGAGAGAGAGGAGGAGAGAGAGAGAGAAATGATTGATGTGTAAATAGTTTCGTTGGAGTCTACAAACCATTCAAAATAGATGATTTTTGACTTTTTCTCTACAAGCTTTCAATGTTACTACTAGTGCCTCAAGTGTGCGATTTCTTTTGGGGCAACAGTTCCGGGGCTCATACACTATGCTCCGTGGAACACTTCTAAATGCTAGTCCAGTGGTTTCACGAGGAAGGTATTTTCACTTCTAAATGCTAGTTCAGTGGTTTCACGAGGAAGGTGTTTTCACTTCTAAGTGGTTTCACGAGGAAGGTATTTTTTGGTACGTTTAATTAACGGGAGATGCTTGGTACTTTCTCTTTCTCTCCCTGCTCTGCCTGCTCTTCCTGCAGGCTGACGCTGCGCTGCAGACACATAGCACGGACCCAGTTTGCTGCGCTGAGAAAGAGTGTCAGCGAGAAGCTGCAACTGCTGGAGAACAAGAGAAGTGAGTCTGGCCTGCACCTCTGTAGAGGAGAGGGAGTGTGTGTGTGTGGGGGGGGGGGGGTGATAGGAGGGATCATGCACCACATTGCACGTGAAAATGCGAGGAGTTTTGTTGCTGGTGTGAATGCGCATGCATTCTTCGAACTAACAACAGTAGAAGATCTCGATTACACGTGCTCTGCGGTTTTCAGATAATAGAGTTAATGTGTGGAGCGCTCAAATCACTGTTTCAAATAATTATAACTCTTTCCATGTCGCTATGCTGAATAGATATGTCACGCAAATGTACTTTGAAGTACTGTACAGTCCGACCTCGCTTAACCGCACACGTCCGTTTTCCAACAAAATATCCGGATAGGCGAGGGAACCGGATAACCGAACACCGTTTATGTTGGATGCATCACGTATGCTGTAAATATGTAACCAGCTTTTTTCGTCCGGATGGCGAGGGATCCGGATAAACGAGGACCGGAAAAACGAGGTCTGACTGTATTTTCTAAGTAGAAGCCGCACTTTAAACACTAGTGATTCACTGAAAAAAAGTCGGTGCAGCTTATGCTACGATGATCAAATTAACGGTGATAAATAGGGAAGATGTCTGTATTTCGTGACAAAAAAATTTGGGTGTGGCTTATTCTCCGGAAAATACGTAGCTTGATTTTGTGATCGTCCTTGCCTGAGACGGCAAGGCCGCTGTGGCTGCCATGCACTGGTGTACAGTGTACATGCTTGCATTCCGATGTGTCGCTTGATGCTGTGACTGCTGCCATCTGTTTTGCGTCTTGTGTTGCCAGTCCAAGACATCAGCTTTCAGCTGGAGCGTTTCATTTCGGCCATGGAGCACTGCTCGCAGCGGTGCCTGATCTATCACAAAGGCCTGGACGTCTTTCCCATCGAGGTGAGAGCTCCCCTGACGTGTATTCGTTCTCAGTGTGTGTGTGTGTGTCTGTGTCTGTGTCTGTGCGTGTGTGTGTGTGTCTGTGTGTGTGAGTATGTGATGCATAACTGAGTGCCCATGCATGCACAAATACTAGAACGGGCAAGTGGACTAGTTCCAGTGAGTACCGTCCGTGCTCTACCCCTGAATACCAACACCAGATCCAGGGATTCCTAGTAGCCACCCCCATATTTAGTTGTCTCCGATGGTGACGAGTGCATTCATGGTTCCGAAGAGTCTCCAGTTTGGGTGTGAGTAGACCACAGAGGTGGAAGGGTCGCTTTTATCCTGCCTTGGGTGTGATGTCTGTGATTTTAGTTTTCTTTAAACCCTGAGGGCATCTGGATTTGTTTGTGCAACATTCTGTGCTGTGCTGTGCAATCTTCAGCTGGATCTGGACCGCGGTGTGTTCAAGTCGGCCGCACAGCGCATGGCGGCGGCTCTCTACGACACCGACAGCGGACACGACGACGACGCTGGCTGCTCATCGTCGGCAGCGAGTCACTACATGCCCGGCGGTGTGTCGGAATCTGGCAGCAGCCTGGCCGGTGGCTCCTCGCTCAGCAATGCCGGCAGGGAGTTCGTTGAGCGCACGGACAGCGGTAGAGGTGAGGACTTGCCACGACGGGCAGGCGACGCCGATTCCGTGTTACTGCAGCTTGAGTAGTAGGTACAGTATACCTGTAGTGCAACAACAAGACGAGAAACAGAGACAACCAGTTTGATATTTGCAAATGCAACTCTCTCTCTCTCTCACACACACACACACACACACACACACACACACACGCACACACACACACACGTACGCACACAGATGGAGAGTATTTTAATAGCAATATGCTCCCCATCAAATACCGGTTTCGTTTAGGCCCGGGCACGCATGCCACAGACCAAGGACATGCAATAACGCACATGGTCTGAGCAACAGTGCACCCACGCATAGGTTACACATTCACGCCATTATTCTTTAATGTCGCGTTTTCACGCAGTTATTCATAGGCAACATTATTATCACACACTAGTACTAGTAGTAGTATCAACTATGTAGGTCACCATGGCAACTCCCTAGTTAGATAGTATTGTTCTGGTTGTGCCGGCCAACGTTCTCCACGACATTATGCATAGCTCGGTGTGCTACCGTGACGTACACATCCCGTAAAACATGCGCTTTTCGGCGAGCATGCAGCCTTCAGTGCTGCTACTCGCAATCTAGTTTCGCTTTGTGTACACGCCATGGCACACCGTCTTGAGACCGCCACCAGCCTTCGCTGGTAGAGGTACATTATTTCCCGTCATAGGACATGTACTGCGGCGATGCTTATTATTTTAGCGCTCTTCAAAGTCTTCATCGTGAGCATGACCCCAATCATCGTCATCATTATCGCCCATCCTTCAGTCATATTCTGGTTTTATCCTGTGCAAAGCTCGGCCTCAGCTCCACTGCACTTTTCTTTTATCATTGTCCATTATTTTAGTTGGCGCCCGGCTCACCTCAGACAGAAAACTCGCCTCCGCTTTGGTTTTTATGTGCCTGAACCCGGGCGGGAATCTCCAGAGAGCGGACTTTCCGATTTTGGCTAACACCGCAAGCATAAGTCGGCGCTCCCGACCTGTTCTTATTATCATCCTGTGGATTTTATTCTCTGGTGCTCTCACGTTTCATCGCAGCATTGCTCTTTTACTCACCTTTGTGTGTTATATTTTCCGCCAGTTAGGCAGAGACTGAACGGAGTCTTGCCTACAACTAACGTTACTTTTTTTAGGGAAATTTTATTCATGGCAATCCGCCATGATACCCACGTCCTTTATTTCCATTTTCATGCTGTTGAGTGTGGGACAGCCAACTCACGAGATATGTGTGAGGTGTGTGCTAGCTGGCGACTTTGGTTTTCTCATGAACCTTAAAATCCCTTTCCACTCATTCATTGTCTATTCTGGCAATTTAAAATTATATGTTTCTTTTTGGAAGGGAATATGAGACGCTCCATCAATGCGTACTGTGATTGTTGTGGTGTTCCAGTCACGTGGCACGTGCTGTCCGTCTGTGTGTCTGTCTGTGTGCCTTTGTCATCAACTGGAAGCGTCGCGTGTTGCTTTGCCTGCCTGCGCCATTGACCTGCTCTTCCGGAGAACTGGACTGGCTCTGTCTAGCTGTGTTCCTAGGCTATAGACGCGGAGTCATAAAACGAACAGTGTTTGAGAATCTCTGACTGGGAGCACGTCGGCGGTGTCATGCATGCGTGTGTTGTTCTTCCTGTCATTGAGTCTGCTTTTCCAGAGAATTCCACTCCAGTTCAGGTGCAGCAATGCAGACTGTTGGTGCAGTCCTGGTGCATCCCGGTAATCAGCCTCGCCGAGCACTGCAGCATGTCTGGCCTCTTCATGCGCAGTTTATGCTGGGTGTCCTTGGAGCTGGAGGCTAAGCTGGGCTCTTCTAAGGCAAGGTGAAGTGCTCATACGTATTCAATTCTTATTGACTCTGTGTGGCCCCTACATGCACCACTCTCTATCATTAATTTTCACGGTCCTTGCCTTTCTCATGAACTTGAGGAAGTGTGTGTGGAGGGGGGGGGGGGGGGGGGGTGAGCTTTGTGCAAAGACACACAATAAAGTATTACACCTGGTCCCAGGCTGATGTGTAGTTTCTAGGTAACCATCAGGGAGACGTAAAATATCAGTATAATTATTGCGACTCCCTGGTTTACATACATATACTTGGAAGTCGATTTCAATGTGCAATTGTGCATGTAGCTACTGTCACTGAAGCAGATTTGGCACCATCCCTAGCACTTGGATAGGCATTACACCACTGACTGGGTGGTGACGGAACAATAATAAATGTCAGCACTTAACCCACAGCATTGTGCTCCAGTCATGCCGGCACACAATAGGATTAGTCACTGTGCTGGTGAATCTCTGCTCAGCTGTGCCAGAGCTGTGACTAATCTCTTGCCTTGGATCATGGAGGACACCATCTACTTGAAGTGCTTTTGGCATTGTCAATTAATTATTCTGGTGTACGTGTGTGACAGTCTTCATCATGCTGTCACAGGAAATAGATGATCTGCTCAGCCAGTGTTGCTTCTGCCTGCAGTAGTGGGTCTGGTTACTGGAGCAGCTGCATGTGTCTGTGCATGTGGTGGGTGTACTTGTCACATAGTTGATGGTGTAAGAAAGACCCACTTCACCAGGATCCACAGGAAAACTTAGAGGCTGGGGCAAGTCAACGAATGGTGAATATTGCTGTGCTGGCAAGGCTGGCTCCCTAAAACAGGTCTTTTGTCACCTGCTCCATGCTGGGAGTGGCACAAAGGCACTTGTCAGCAATTGAGACCGTGAGTATGTAAATGCGTGACCATTACAGGACTGCCAAGCACCTACTAAAACCAATTATTTGATTTATTTATTTCCCCTGTCCCTGGTCACAGTGAGAGTACAATACTGCAGTAACGTTACTGCCCTCAGACCTGGCAATGATCATGGGGCCAGGACCCAGCAGGGCTGAGGGTAAACTCAGCCACCATGGTTGTGCCAGTGCATGTGCTAAGTAAGTGCGTACCCATGATTATTTTTACTTTTCAGTGAGGTCTTCATACCAGTAAGCACTCTTACCCCCCCCCCTCTCTAAGTACCGTTCATGTGATAGATAGTGATACTTGATGTGCAACACTATGCCAGCTAGGAACACACACTTTAAAGTAATAGTCATGTACATGTAGTTGAAGGCAATACAGGTATTAACGGAGTACTGTTACATGTATTGTGTTATTGGGACCTACAGTGTTATGCACAGTCATGTAGCTGGCCTGCTTGCAACCAGTCAGTTTACCTTCTTGATCATGTTTTGTAGCTGATACTGGTACATGTACACACTCAGTGTGTAGCTCTGATGCAATTATCTGAGTTTGAGTGGTGATGCTGATAGTGATAATAATCCCTTGCTCTGCTGCTCATGTATGCATGACTGTGGCTGTGACATTGACATACGGCGCCTGACTGCAGCAGCAGTACCCAGGATCATGAAGATAGCACAGACAGTGCTCCACTGCACTGTCATCAGTGAGGCGGGGCAGCAGGGAAAAAAAGATTGGGCACATTTGCAGTAGTAGTCACCCACTGCATCTCTACATTGCATACACTGGGCTCAGTGATCATGTGACCTGGATTCTGCTGGATCTAATCAGGGATCCGGGAGGCCACTACATGCTGATTAACAAACTATTACTTCTGATGTATTGGTGCAGCGGGCACCCTGGTGTGAAAGATCACCCGCTGTGTAGGGCCGTGGATCTACCATACATGTAGCCTCCTCCTAGTCCATAGGCGGTCACTGAGACCATAATTATTTCGCTCCAGGTCTACCCACCACTACACTATACAATACTAGGGCACTGAACCATGGCAGCTCATGCACGCTACTGCATGCATGGCTAACGTTACTTGATCAGTTCTGGTGATAAACTGAATTTTGATTGTGCCCGGTAGACCATGCATGCACCAAAACTCTGTCCCCCCCCCCCCCCCCCCCCCCCTTAAACACACCACACAACACACACACACACACACACACACCAGTGATTTTCAGGATTGTACTTCTACATGTACATGACTCAGTCATTATTCCTCACTTGTATTGCCAATGGCACTTGTGCTCACGCACATAGGATTATGTCAGGCAGTGAGCCATGGCCCATTGGGCACATCTTTCTGCTTATCTCAAGCATGTCATCATCTGGCGTGTTTGCAGAGCTTGGATTGGTGGATTGCAGTGTCACGCACTGGGTATTTTCACACATTCTAAATTAATACTTGAAGTAACTTTTTTTTAGTACAGTACGTAGTATACTAGTAAGTGACACAACGTGGGTACGTACCAGGGAGTCGTAAAATACCGGTATTTTACGACTCCCTGGTGGGTACATGACTACAAGCATCACAAAATTAATCACATGATCAGAATCAGTGACATCCAGGGAGTTGTAAAATACCGGTATTTTACGACTCCCTGGTGACATCACACACGATTTCTACAATGGCAGGCCTTCTGATAATCAAAATTATCAAAAGGCCGGGCACCTTGTGCTGGAAAGACTCATGATCTAGCATAGAAGACCATAACAGGATCGTGTAACCATCAAGCGCTACGTGACGTTGTACATCCTGTAACAGGAAAATCAACTGGGCCATCAATCCCTAACTGGCCTAACGATACAACTCCATACATCTCAGACATCTAAATGTGTTAGGCCAGTGGGTACTGGTAGCAGCTGCTTATGCCGAGTAATGCAATTATCTCTCTATTATCTCTCCCAAGCTGTACAGTGCAGTACTATGGGATGGGAGTGATGAAATCAGCCGTCATCACCCCAAGCATAGTGATACAATGTAGCAGGGAGGGGTAGCTAGTGAGAGTGTTTCATTCACCTACCAGCATGCCTAGACCAGGGTTAGACTTTGCTAATCATTGTACACGTATACTCACTGACAGACAGGTGGTCTCTCTCCCCAGGTTCAAATGAGTATAATTATGGTGAAGGGTCATAAAATCTGTACTTTAAAAAGCTGAACCATTTTATTCGTTTCCCTTCCCAAAGTAACTCACAACGACCGCCAGTACCCGGAATAACCCAGCGGCATACATGTACTTCAAGCACGTAGCGCCTAACAGTGGGGGTAAGCACTAAAAGCCTAAGAAACACACACACACACACACACACACACACACACACAAACACACACACACACACACACACAAACACACACACACAGACACACACACACACACACACACATGGATATCCGGGGTCAAGTGACTGTAGTATAGTGTTGCAAGATCTTGAGAATAGGGCTTTAAATCCCATGGTAAACATGCTCGGCTGTTGGGTACCTGAGAGGAGCTGCCTCTCACCAAGGACACCAGTGACCTTACTGCAGTGCTCGCTAAATACAGGTTCTCTCAGCTGCATACACCTGTACAATGTGTTGTAAAGTGATGTGTTGTTTTCCTGTGTGATGACATTCCCCAAACTGTCTTCGTCTGAGTGAGTGTGAACGGTATTAAAGGTTCAGTCTCTGCTGTTTTGTAGTTTGTGCGCAGCCTGCCTGGTGGTGGACATCTGTTCGCCACTGAACGGTGTGAATGTACTACACGTGTTGCCATGTGTACTACTACTAGGCTCTCCCACCTTCAGCTTGACCGCTGACTGTACACCCAGTTCCTGTCACATACAATGCCTGGCATGTAAACAGGCAGGAACTCGTCTGTTGGCAGTTACTTCCTATCATGCACGATTGATCAACAGGCTGGTGCATTGTTCTGCCAACTCTCCCAACTGAACATTCTAAAGTAAGTAAGTTCTGATTCTGAAGTATTGTTAGTTAGTCTAAGACACTAAAGGTTCATCTGGGAATACATGTACAGTCATGTACATGTATTCCCAGATGAACCTTAGTTCATCTGGGAATACATGTACATGACTGTACATGTATGTGATGTCATTGACAATCATGTACATGTACATGCCTGTACATGTGTGTGATGTCATGCATAGTGAGTCTAGTGACATGCACAGTGACATGCACAATGTGCAATGTACATGATGTGGTTGTGCTCAATCATTAGACATTGGTGTTTTTAGTACCACCCATAACGAAGACACTACCCCCCCCCCCCCCCCAGCCTTGGTCAAGAAAAGTGGCAGATACGGCTAGAAAAGCATTGAAATTGACAGAGCCAGAGTCATACAGCACTTATGTTAGGCAATTCCTCGGAGTTCTGCTCCTCCTCTTTATCCATGTGCCAAACATGCATGGCAGTTGGAACATGCCAGAAAAAAAGAGCCAGATTCTGCCGGCACATCACCTACGGAGGAGTTATTCACCAGTACACTGTGCAGTCTACCTCCGCACTGTGCAGTCTACCTCCGCACTGTGCAGTCTACCTCCGCACTGTCCATCACAACCATGTTTCATGTTTCTCACCAAGCCACTACTAGTATTTATGACCCAGTTACTATTTTATTTTATGATTCATGGATGAGATCTACCCACACATAATTACAGTTAAGTCCAGCACATCCTCCAAGGCCAGGGCACCAGCATCAATACAGTCATGCGCATGTACATGTACATGACGTTTCATTACAGTCAAACTCAACCACTGGCAGTGGCAAGTCAACATAACTTTGTTTACTTCTGCTCCCAGCCACCGTCTCACTTGAGTGAATACAGATTGTACTGCTGCTGGACAATCATGTAGTGCTTTCAGGCCAAGTGAGACTTAGTAGTCACTATACCATACATGTAGTGCTTTCAGGCCAAGTGAGACTTAGTACTAATAGTAGTTACTATACTATACATGTAGTGGTTGGCAGACCGGCGACAGGAAATGTGCACTACAAATGCACAGACATGTGCATTGGACTCACAACTAATGACACCACTTCACAACAATTTTAAAAGGCTGCATCATGGCATGGCAGTGAACAGTGTACATCTACGGCAGTCCACAAGGGGGGGGGGGGCATTTCTAGTACAGTGAAAAGTCAGAAACTTGAAAGAGCTCTTGTTATTGATAACGTTAACTTAAAACACACCATGGCCATGCATAGACTACATGAAGTTACTATTTTGATGCCCCTTATCTACATTCACACTTGATACCAGTCATTTGACCATGCCCTTGGATAGTACAGTAAAATCAAAAAGGAAAGTAAAAGTCACCCGGATTCCCTGAAGTGTTTTGGAACACACCAAGCAAAGACGTTCGCATCGGCGGGCCACCACTTCGCCCATACATGTGCAGCAGGGGCGTCGCACACGGTACGGTCACTACGGTATTGACCGTACCACTATTCGACCCAAGTACCCTGTGAATCAATAAAATGCACTGATTTGGGCTCTAATTTTCCAATTTTTAGGCTCAGCCACCCCTCCCCACGAGTAAATTGTACTTCAGATGGCTGACCGTACCACACTAAATTACCTTCCGACGCCCCTGGACAGTACCGGTATATCCTCTGAGTTGAATGCAGACCTCACAAGTGAGTGCAGGGGAGAGGGGCTTTACACGCCCGTTTGTTTGAGAGACTTATCCCCTCTCCCCTGCACTGACTCACTTGTCAGGTCCGCATAGTACAGTACATAGGCTACAATTTATAAAATTATTACTACTACATGTAGTACTCAATCTGCGGATTTCTCTATGTTCTCGTACTAGTAGTAGTAGTAGTAATAGTAGTACAGATTTGTATGGCCATTGCATTGGATGTACGATACTGAAGTCACATGATTACTATTAAATTATAATAGTTAGTTTCACTGTATTCGAAGCAATGACTAAAACTAGAAACTTCACCATGCTTTACCGTCTAATTTAATTACTAAATTAGCTCAGTCCTGTACTTCTGTATTACATGTGTAACGACTACGAGGCCTGGTTCTTACCGCTAATTGCTCGTTGGTCAGTTTTACTTCATTTCTCAGCGGCATTAGCGCCGCGGGAAGGAACGGCAGGCGTTTAGTGGAGGGACGGTCGATGTCCGTTCAGTGGAGTCAGCCACTGCCGGTTGCCAATGCACAATCGTTCGCTGAATCAGTATCTTGATGCAAATCAGAAACGGGTCGGTGGCGCTCAGCTATGATCTGTTGATGACTGACCATGACCGGGTGGGCAGCTTGCAGACTTTCTGAATACAATAACCGTTAAAACGGCTACATGTTACATAACAAGCTCAATCATTCTTCCAACACAAATCAATCCTATTTTTTCTGTGTGCATTGTGTTATCGTGGTTATCCATAACTGCACTCAGACTCGGTTTGACGCAGCAGAGCGGCGAGCTGCGGTGAAAACTACGATCATGACTCGACTGTGTAGATCTACGTAGCTGACACACAAAGTTGGTTGGTACACGACTCACACGTGTACACTGTGTAGCTCTGGCGATCAGAACAATGCTCAATGCTCCTTTCATGACACGAACCACCTACAAGTAGTCACATCACTCAGTGAATCACTGTGAAGCCACAACCATGAATGAGAACTCCACTTCTCTTTCTATTTTCGACCGCACCTCCATTTGCGAAGTAAACGGGACGTCCCCGTACCATGCAGCAATCAAGAAGACTCGCGTGACACGAACAACAATGTCTGCGATCGAGTTGACCATGCATGCACTCTGGTCGTGCGTTGACCATATAGCCATGTTGACAGGCAGCCTTTTTTTTGCATATGCGCTTGATCGACGCGGCTTGTGCCCAGGTTGTGAGGCATAGCAGTCTAGTACGGGTACGGAACGTCGGAAGCTCAAATGCAGGCATTTCGCGGACACCGATCGCTCGTCGCCAAAGACGCCAGCGTCAATCCTGCACTTCAAAGACTCCTAAAGACTGTTATATGCCCGTAGTCTAGATCTAATGACTACTGTACTTGTACTGTTGTAGGCAGGCTAGTAGCATACGCACACGCACACCCGCAGTCGAACAGCTGATCGTGTTTTGCGAATCTTCATTTTGACTTCAACAACCTCACCTATCACTGCACTATCCGCAGATCTACAATCGGCGACCTGTCAAAGACGGATTTTTTCGACCTACCAAACACCCAGTGCAGTGGATGTGTTGATTCTTACGGTAACAGTTGCACCCTAGCGGACAAGTAGAACCCTGCTACTAGTGCTAGGCCAGGGCTCAGCGCTGTTTCTGCAGGCCGGCAGCCGTCCGTCACTGAGTCAGTATTTCGTCCGGACTCGAGAATCTTCACAGAGCTAGAGCTAGCCTGGCACCGTACCACCAGTGCAGGAAGCAAGGCATGACTGTCGGGGCTTCATTCGATGTGATTTCTTGCCCGCGTTGTCTTTGCTGACGCGGTGATTATAGTCGGAGCGTCTTGCTTTGAGACCCTAAATCAGCCAGCCACTCAAGGCTACAGGCCCGCGCAGCTGTCCTGCACGCTCTAGAACGCATCCTAGTGAGGGTGGTGTTAGCTAATCGCAGAGTTATGTTGTAGCACAAGCCGCGGCGTTCAGTTTGCGGGGAGCTTACATGCAGATGCACAGATAAACCAAGAAATCTTTCCTGCCATTTGCTAGCTGCTGTGCGCGCTCGAACGCAGTATCTCGTACTCACTCTGCGTGCTCGACACGCCGATGAAGTCTGTGAACGGGTTCTGCTGGAACCGAGCAGTTTGCCCCTTCCAATCGGCTTCGTACACGCTCTGCCTGTCCGGATGAGAAGGTGTCTTGAGGTATCAAACGAGCGTAGGCGCAGCACTGCCAGCACTGCAGCACGACACTGCGCGACACTGCACGCCCGCCGCCACGACCTGTTGTGACTTTATCCAGTTTGTTTACTGACGCTTTTGCTGTGGGCACAGGCTAGGTAGTAAGCAAACAGCAGCGCAAGCAGCAGCAGCAGCAGCAGCTCAATGGACGGATGCGAGTACAAGGAGAGCAAATGGAGAAAAAATACATGTGCCAACTGCTTCCAGGCGAAGAGCTCCCATTCGAACTTTGGGACGACCCAGCGCGAAGGTCGAGGCACCATGTCCAGATCGGAAAGTTGGGAGGTGAAGCGAACGTCAGCGACGCTGCCCAATCGTCACTCAAATCGTTACTCCTCCGGCAGTAGCATCAGCGCTGCTTCCATTGGCCTAGAGCGCAGCAACAGTTCTGTATCCAGCACGCGTTCATCAACGGATCTGTCCAAGTCATCACCCTCCGCACTGCGGAAGCCTGCTCAGGGCGGCAGCGAAGTAGAATGCGACGAGACAAAAGAGACAGCGGCCAGCTCACCAGCGACACTGCGCAGCAGTGCTGGCTCTTCTGTTCCTGCCAGGACACCACCTACAAGTACAAGTAGTTCATCACCTCCAACTGTGCTGACACGAGCCAGAACCAACGGTGAGTCCAGCAGCCAATCGACAACCACCTCAATGGACTCTTCGAAGCCTCCGCCAGCAAAGCCGCCGACGGCTCGTAAACCCGGAGCGGCTAGCCTGCGAGTAAATCCTGCCAGAACTGCTGTTCCATCAAAGCCCTCTAGCGGCAGGGTTGTATCGAAACAGCACGACACAGGAGTAATCGGGGATGCTGCTGGACCAAAGCCTCCACCACCAAAACCAGCAGTAACGTCCAGAAGAAAGTCCCCCACCTCTGCTTCGACTCCCACTAGCGATGACAGCAGCATATTAGCGTCACCCGTTCGTTCGGCAGCCGTCGATCGTTCCTGCGCCGACGGTCGAGGAAGGCACGAACCCACTACTAGCACTGTAGTTCAAGCAGCGTCACCTGGCGCAATGCGACCACCGCAGGTAACTGGCAGCAGTCGAGTCGAATCGATGACGACCGTGGGCACCGCTTCAGCAGGGGAAAGTGTAGGAGTAGGAGTGTTGAAAATCGGAAGTGCTGGAAGATCTACAGATGACCGAACGCTGGTGTCCTCAACTAGTGCTGCGTCTAACGCTAGTGTGACTGCAAAGGCAGCAGCGAGTGGCAGCAATCACAGCAGCAGAGGAACTGTAGAGACCGGCAAGCGAGCTGAAAATACTTCCAGTAGCTCGCCAGCAGCAGCACAAGACAAAAAATCTGGAGCTCGTGTTACTGGTAGAAATGTAGCAACACGATCACCGAACAGTGGCAGCAACAGCATCGCCACCAGCAGTGGTAGTAGTAATAGTAGCACAGGCACTGCAACGGCTCGCGGAGACCAAGGTACTAGCACTGTGTCAGCGTCATCTTTGGCCTCATCACCGTCGTCAGCCAGCAGCAGCAGCAACGCTAGCCAGCCTGCCAGCATGAGCAGCACTGCAGTTGTGAATGGTCACCAAGGGAGTAGAGAGTCTCCTGCTGCTGCTGCTGCTGCTGCTGGCTCTGCATCAACAGGCAGGAAAGCTGAAGCAAGCAGAGAAAGCAGCACAGAGATCACAGCCCAGCTTGTTGGAAGTGATGACAGTCTAGAAAAGAAACTAGCTCCGGCCAAACCCAGTAGAAGCAAGCTGAGCTACAGCGCGTCTCCCGACCTGCTGCGGGCACATGCCAGCAAGACGGAGAAAACTACGCCCGCCGCTTCTCCCGCACGCACAGCGTACGAGGACATCTGGACGCCGACGAAAACGGCAGCCTCCGGTAAAAATGCCGGAAAAGAGAACGGCACGGCCGGCACCGGTGTAGCAGCCGGTTCCAAGCCGCAGGCAAAATCACGCTCTCCTCTCTCGCCGTCGTCCAGCGATCTCGATAAGATGATGTCGGGCACATCGACAGACCTGGACGCCATCATATCTGGTCAGAAGCGGCCGAACGCTGTTGCATCTCGGAGAGCAGGTGCCGACAGCACACTGCTGAAAGGTCAGCAGCGGCAGGACACACAGCCCAGCGTTCCACCGGTGCACAATTACACCGAAGCAGCCAGGGTGTCAGTGAAAGGTGGGGCTGACGGAAACACCAGCACCGATGCTGGCAGCTTGGCTAAAGCAGAGACCGAGTCGATATACTCCGTGCCCGGCGATATCCGACCGTTCAGCCCGTCAGAGATGGACGAAGCAGATGGCAGTGGCAGCACAGGTGAGTACAAGTCGCCACGCAAGATGTCCGACTACAACGTACCGCGTCCCGTCTCGTCGGCATCCCTGCACACTGCGACCACCGGCAGCAGCAACAGTACTGGCGGTGGCAGTGCGATGCAGCGTTGTGTCAGCGAGGCAGTGGTGTCCGTGCAGCAGCCGCGCCCGCAGCCGCCGGCAAGATCCAAGTCACGGAGTTCAGTGTCTCGACCCAGTGTTCCCCCTCCACCGCCGCCAGCGGGCAGGGCTACTGCGGACGGCGGTTACTCCCCTACGGAGGTTAGGGTGGATGGCAATGTGTCGGTTGTGCTGAGAAAGCCATCCGCCGCCGATGACGTCAGTCCTCAGCTTGTACGTAGGAATACCATGGAGCGGACAAAGCGACACACGATATCCGGCAAGCCGCACCGCATCCCACCTCCACCGCCGCCGGGAACCAGACCCGCCGAGGAGCAGGATGCATCTCCGCGCGGCGAGCGAAGGCGTAGCATCTGCACTCCGCCGCCGCAGCGAAAGATCACCGGCAGTGGCACGGCGCCGGCGGCACTGGAAACACTCATGAAGTCGGTTACCGATGCAGGCAGCTCGGTGGGCAAGCTCTCGCCGAAGATTGGCAGCAAGGTCTGGAAAAACCTGCGAAAGACTCACGAGCGCACGATGTCGATGATCCGTCAGCGGCGACCCGGCCGTAAGAATTCCGTATCGCAATTTGACACGTCCGATGACGAGCACTCGCCTGGCACAAGCAGAGATCCGTCGCGTGCTCCTTCGGTCATGGACTCGCCCGAGGACGAAACATGCCGGACGCCAACACCGGGTGACTACACTTGTGATGACACGGAACCGCACAGCGATACAAGTCCGGAGATGACCAAGTCCACTCCGCCTCGAAAGCCATTGCGTACGGCGAGCAGCTTCCGGCGCAACCGCAGGAACCTTATCTTACCGGCGGACGCATCAGGAGATAACACCGGGTCCAGCCTAGAGTCACCGTGTACGACGATAGACAGAACTAGTAGCAACAACACGACCGGGAGTCAGAGCGGCGAGTCTGTGTCGTCCACGCAGTCTCTTCGCTGTCTCATCGACGCGTCGCTGGCGGGTATCGGCGACTCGCTGCCACCGCCGATGCACAGCAATGTGCTGCCGCTGCCGCCAAAGCCTTCGCGACCTGCCAGCAAACCAGCCGGAGATGCACCTGCTCTGCCGCCGCGCCAGCCCGACCCAGCATCTCCTGGCGCGCCCACAGTCCTACCCAGAACCAAATCGGTGAAAGGGACGAATTCTCAGCTGCCTGCCACAAACGGGCCTGTTCAGAAGAGCCCCGCGCAAAAGGCCTCAACACCCGGCCAGCACTTCCCACCGTCCGCTCCGGTTCCCCCGTCCATCGAACAAGAACTGGAAAGAGAGCTGTCGTTGATGAGAAGTGACTATCATGGTCTGACCAGATCTGTGCACCGTAGCCTCGGCAGTGTGGTGAAACGACTGGGCCGGTGCGTGTGCGAGGAGCGCTTCAAGTCCAGCAGTGTTCCCAAGAACTGGTCGCACATCGAGGTGCTGGGCTGCGAGGACGATGGGCCGCACGGAACGTGCAGCATACACGTGCTGTTCAAGAGCCGAGACGGCAAGATACCTATGACAGCGCAGGTGAGAGTTGTATGGTGGCATAGGTGACTGAGACCTACTATAATACTTGCACACGTGGTGGCACTGGCGATTTTGATTTTAACAGCAGAAGTTGGGCTGCTTGCGCAGTCGAAATAAAAGAGTGCATCTGTGTGTTTGTGTGTGTGTGTGTGTGTGTGTGTTCGCGTGGTGTGTGCGTTTGCGTCGTGTGTTTTTGCATTGTATGTGTGTTATGTGTTGTGTGTGTGTGTGCTTGTATGTGTAAGATGCTTGGGTTTTTTAGGTGCTTGCAACAATCATGTAGCCCCATCCTTCATGTTGCAAAAGTAACTGCATGTATGCAGTCTGTGCACATGTGCGTGCTGTTGGCTAGGCCTTGGGACTGCTAACAAAGGCTGTGGGGGAGCCTAATTTGTAAACTTGCATGGCTCTTGAGTCTTGTAGTGTTTAGTAGCACCACTGGACTGCTCTGAGTATATCAGACTGTGAGAGAATAGAATAACGAATACCGTGAGATGGCGAGGTACACATCTTAGTCAGTGAGCTCACTACATTTATGATCGGTACCGGATGTGTGCGGTTGGTGAACAGACAGCAGGGCATGTGACCAAGCACAGGCTGTTCTGAAGTATTATAGTGAAACCTGTCTAAGGCGACCGCTCAAGAGATCCTCCAAACGTAGTCTTTGCCAGTCACCAGGTGGCCTCCTTATTCAGGGTTATTTGACTGAGAATAGCATCCCTTAGTCCTGGTTGTAGTGGTCTTCTTGAACAGGTGGTCACTTTATCCGAGTGGTTGCCTTCACAGGTTTTACTGTACATACAAACTTCTCCACCGCCGTTTAAATGTATACGATCCGTTCATGTTTTGTTTGCTGTGGCGCCGGTGTTGTGTCTTTCCGCAGCTGGAGCCACTGCTGACTGGCAACGACGAAGACGGCCTGCTGTACACGCGCGACTGCGCAGTGCGAGAGAGCATACCGCCGCACTTCAACGTCATACGCACGCAGGCGAAGTTCACCGAGACGGTGCCGGAGCTGGTGCACGAGATGCTGGAACTGGGCATTTCACCGGCCACCGAGTGCTCGTCGTACATGACGGAGTCGACGGCGGACTACACCGACGCGGAGGTGTTCTTCTCGTCTCTGACCGATCAGGACATGCCGGCGCAGGAGGTGATCAGTCAGACGGCATTCGTGTTCGTGCAGATCTGCTCGGCGCTGCAGCATCTCGCCGTCAACGGCATCGTCCACCGCAACGTCGTGGCGCCGTCCATCATGATCGGACCAGTCAACGACAAGATGTAAGTCGTACTCTTCAAGTAATTGTGTTTGGAACGTAACTGCAAGTACGGTAGGACCAGATATTTTAACGTCAATTAAAGTTAGCGATCTCCCGATTTTTGTGAGTTAGCGAGGTGAAATTCTGACTAATTCTGTCTCAAAACTGGAGAATGTACATGTACATACCATTTTGCACATTACGACTTCAAATGTTAACCCATTTTTCTAATTCGTTAAAGGGGAAGTTAAGCCTAAAATCAAAATTTCACCAGTTCGAGTCTTCGGGGTGCTGATTCGAATGGTCTTGATCCGAGGAAGCTGAGACGCTCCCTTCCGCCTTTATTCCCAATCGAACTCGCGCACTTCCACCGAAACTGGGTGACTGCGCCCTACTAGATGGGGATTTGTATGCAAAATGTCACTAAAAGCGCCATTTCGTTCTTATAAAAGCACGGATGACTGTGATTGGCCCATTTGTTGTAGTCTTTTGGCCGCTGAGTCGACTGGTTTTGGTCCGAAAAGGCTGCGATGCAGCGTTCGGCCCTTATTCAATCGAACATGGCCGTCACGTGCTCCTGCGTACACCAGTCACCTGGTCACCGCGTCAGCAGGCGACAATTTTCACACCAAGGTTCAACTCAAAGGTTCAAAGGTTCAACTCGAGTGACAGAAACTCGCTCAAACGTGCTGTAAGTTGTAGCCTGCAGGCACGGTGACCAGGTGACTGGTGTACGCACGAACACTGTGACGTGACCGCTTGTTCAGCCATGTTCGATTGGGAATAAGGGACGGACGCTATATCGCAGCCTTTTCGGACCAAAACCAGACGACTCAGCGTCCAAAAGCCTACAACATATGGGCCAATCGCGATCATCCGTGCTTTTATAAGAACGAAATGGCGCTTTTAGTGACATTTTTTATACAAATCCCCATCTAGTAGGGCGCAGTCACCCAGTTTCGGTGGAAGTGCATGAGTTCGACTGGGAATAAAGGAGGAAGGGAGCGTCTCAGCGTCCTCGGACCAAGACCATTCGACTCAGCACCCCGAAGACTCGAACTGGTGAAAATTGATTTTAGGCTTAACTTCCCCTTTAAAACGTGAGAATTAAATGTTCGTTAACATTACTGGTCTTACAGTACTGTAAGACCACTAATGTCAACAAGCATTTAATTCTAACGTTTTAACAAATTTGAAAAATCGTTAAAATTTGACGTCGTTAGGTGCAAAATGGTATGGGCATCTGCAGTCATTTGCCGATTTTGACAGACAGAATTCGTAAGCATTTCATCATGCTATAAAGTATAAACCAACAAAAATCCGGGGATCGCTAACTTTAATTGGTGTTAAAATATCCGGTCTTACAGTACTGTAAATGCACTGGAAACCAACGATTGTTCATAAGCACATTTAAAAAATATTCGTAAAGGTCGTACAGGCCTGCAACCCAATAATAAGTATAGTCAAACCTCTTTAGGACCAACACCAAGGGATCGATGATATTTGTTCGCTTTATCGGGAGTTCTTCTTATCCGTATGTTATACCCACTGAATACACCGTGATTTATCCAATGGAGTTACGAATACTAGTTCTTCTTAACAAACATTTGTCTTATCAGTGTTCTTCCTAACAAGGTTTCACTGTATATCGATTTCTGACTACTAGACTGCCATATATGTTGCTACTGCGCATACTGCAGGTGCCTTTCCGGAGTCGAATTTACAAAGGTTTGCTTCTTGTTGCAAATGGGAAGCTTGCAAACAGTTACAAACGCTGTGCATATACACACATTAGGTACAATGGAGATCGGATATTACGACGACTATAACGACAGATTGAGTTTAGCGACACAATTTCGTTGCCCAAGTCGTTTAGTAAGTCCTTTGTGAAGATCAGGTTTAGTGACAGATCGAATATAGTGACATTTTGTTCTCTCCCGAAGGAGTGTCGTTATATCCAATCTCCACTGTACTAATAAGGGAGAGGAGACAAGCACTGTGCTGGTTGTGTTGAGCTCACCAAAACAAAGCGATCTCTCGCCCCATGTGTGTTATTCAAACTGATAGAAACGTCTTTGCAACACGATTATCGGATGCATGTTTTTGTATTGCAGAGATGATGTTTCTATCAGTTCGAATAGCACACCTAGTGACTTAGGTATAAACAAAATGTAGAGTCACAAAAGGAATCATCCCACACACACAAAGGAACGACTTATGACAGGTACTAGTAGTGGGAAGACCTTATAGACGGAGAAAAAGACCAACGATTAAACGACTACATTATGGAAGAGAGAGAGAGAGAGAGAGAGAGAGAGAGAGAGAGAGAGAGAGAGAGAGAGAGAGAGAGAGAGAGAGAGAGAGAGAGAATGCAAGATAAAGGGCCTGGGGAGCTATGGCAAATATTGGCGCGCAAGTACCTACCCAGGCCAACAGAACGAAAGATGAGTGCGTCATTACAGGCCAGCTGGAAAAAGGTTGTAGAATGTGCGGCAGGAGGTACCTAACATACCTCCCCTGCGCAAAAAACAAGAACCGCGACCTTGCGGACAATAATAAGACGATGAGAAGATAGAGAAAAAAATGATTGAGGATGAAGAGAAAACACACACACACACACACACAATGCACGGATCACATAAAAGTGTTATACCAACAGGCACACCAATTATCTTATTCCTGTACTTTTAAAAAAGTAGGTACGCGCATCATCCAAGATAGCGTAAACAATACAAATGTAGTTCCCAACAACGGCGGGCCAGACACCCCTTCAAAAAAAATGGTGCTTCGAAGTACAACTGAAACACCTAGACTTGACAAGGAGCATTGCATACTGCGTGGCACGGCTACAGCAGCATGGTTACACTTCTAATCCGGCCCGCCAACATGAATAATAGAGTGTGGATCACCATGATCAGACCACTAAGATTACATGATTGGACACACGTGTACATGCATGCACACCACAATAAAATAATCGCAAAAAAAAACACAAAAAATGGACGAAGAAGGACACATGAAAAAGAAAGGGAGAAACAAAGAAAACAGCTGACCTGCATGGTTAAACGAGACGAGGTTGACATGCCGTATTTCCCCGATTGTAAGTCGCACCTTTTGACACTAAACGTCAAGGGCAAAGAAGGGGGTGCGACTTACAATCGAGTGTGACTTCTTACTTATGTGAATGCATTGAGACGATTTGGTTCGGACGTGAGAATGGGCTGCGACTTATAATCAAGTGCGACTTATAATCGGGGAAATACGGTAGACGAGACGAGGATTATTGATAACTAGACGAACGGCGGTTGCTGAGGACGAACGGGACGATGAATTGAGGGTCGTGGGTTGAACTCACAGGGTTGTGGGTTCGAGCGAAAAGTCGGGCGCCAATGATGAGTCACATAAAGCTACCCAGGCCAATGGAACAAAAGGTCAGTGCGTACGGGGTGCATACAGCATTACAAGCCAGCTGGAAAAGGTTGCAGAATGTACGGGAGGAGGTACATACCTAAAAAAAAGCATAGCGAGAGCTCATGGGCTTTCAATCACTCTCGTTATTTTATACAAACACAAAGAGCTTTTTAACATTGGATTGTAAGAGCGATGATCTCCTCTCAATTTCCTTTGCCATCCCCTTAATTTTGCTTAAGCAACTCCAAATGGAACAATGCAAAATGTTCTGCGTACAGCAGCTTGGATATTGATGCAGCTCTTTAGACTTAAGAATGAAGTTGAAGACACCACTGCAGCTGTACTTATGGTTGATAAATATGGTGGTAAAGACACACCTGGCAATATGGCGGTAAACACACGCCTGCCCACACACGCTCTCTAAGCTGCAAGGTTCTAGCACAGAGCTCTCCTTCTCACCACCACCACCATCAGTTCGCGCCTGGCGCCTAGTCGATGCATGGTTAGCGGTATCCGACATAGCAGGCTGGTACATCAAGTAGCGCATGGCACATAGAAGATGACACAGCAGCGACATAGCTCAATTGCGACGTACGTTTCGTCCCCGCTGGACTCATCAGGCAATCTTCTTCTTGGATGTCTTCATACGGAGCTGGACTCGGGAGAATGAAGTTGAAGACACCACTGCAGCTGTACTTATGGTTGATAAATATGGAAATACGCCAGGCGCGAACTGATGGTGGTGGTGGTGAGAAGGAGAGCTCTGTGCTAGAACCTTGCCGCTTAGAGAGCGTGTGTGAGCAGGCGTGTGTTTACCGCCATATTGCCAGGTGTGTCTTTACCACCATATTTATCAACCATCTTTTGACTTAAGGTTCACTTTGTGTCGACGGCAGGATGCAACATGATTGTGCTTATGAAAGCTGATTAATGCACGTATACAATAGGTGATTATAGTAGGTGTGTTTCTTTCTTTGTTCTCCCTGTTGTATCAGGTCGCCAATCCGCAATGGTGACCGCGTGCTGCTCACCAGCTTCGGCCATGCTCTCTCACTGCCATCCTCGCCCAATTCCGGCCAGGGCGGTTCAGACCAGGCCAAGAAGCTCGTGTTCAAGCGCTCCGCACAGCAGACCGTTGTCACGCCACGCCGAACGGACATACTGCCGCCGGAGATCCGCCTGCACCTTCGCGCCGAGGAGCTGGACTATTCGGGATGCGACGCCTACTCTTTGGGCATGCTGATGCGCAGCGTCATCGACATCTCCGTGCTGGCCGTCTTCCAGCGCGTGTGCAGGCGCCTGTGCATGCCCAAGCTCTCCGAACGGGCAACGGTGAAGGAAGCGCTGCGGGCTTTCCAGTGTACGCTGTGGGGACCGACCGAGGCGGAGGTGCCCGGCTGGACGAACCAGGCGGCGCCGTTGGACCGGGACCGGCTCTGCGCCTGGCTGGACATGCAGAGAAGCGAGCGTCTCGGTGCGCTCACGCTGAAGCTGTGCCGCTTCAAGATCTCCCTAGAAGACTATCTACAGTGCCTCTTCCTGAGCACTGTTACCATGGACGAGCTGCTCATCGTGCAGGAAACCTTCTTCATCGGAACGTAGCCACGGCATAGATCTTTGTCCTGTGGTTGTTCTACGGCGCTCGCCTGCCAGTGTGGTGAGGTGTTGTGCCGTGAGTGATGTACTGTACTTGTCAATGTGATTGCTACATGCCACATCTGTTGGCTGCGGCCGTTAAGTTTTACCTTTCGGAATTTCGCCCCGGAGATGGTCATTCTATTTCTAGACACAGCTGATGCATAGCATACAGCCTTGAACTCACCAACTTACCAAGTGCACCAGAAAAAATTAAATTCTTAAAAAAAAAAAGATTGAAATATTGCCAAGCTATTGGAAATTCAGCCCGGCCTGTATTTGCGCTTTAACCTATTTTCGCAGACAGCTATTTTCTAAAAAACCACTGGGTCTCTCCCTGTCAGTCCCCTTTCGGACAATCTGTTTATGTCATGAATTCATCACGCCGGTGGATTCCGCCGCCTTAATGCCGGTGCTAGAGCTATTTGTGAAATTATGACAAAAAATGTTTGTCACTTCGTTATCTGGTGGCGGGTAGTGTTGGATGGGAGTGGCTGTGCAGTATTGATGCAATGGGGTGTGCATGTCAGTATAGCAGGATCGAGTCAGCTTCAGTGTGTGCACAATGTTCCTTTTGTGGTCCTCCGCTCGTTTAGTGGGTGGGTGCTGTTTGCGCCTCGTGTCGAAGGTTTTGTTTGCTGCCCCATTTGTGCACACACACACACACCCGCACACACACACACACACACACACACACACACACAGTCACACACACAGTCACACACACGTGCATTGATGTGCTTGCACCGGATGTGTACTGTGTTCGACACCATCCAGTGTCCCCTGTTTGTAACTGTGCAACGGTTCGTAGCCAATATGTGTGCGGGCATTCCTGAACGGGGCACACCTGGCAGGAAGTGTGTCACCATGCTGGGTCAGGCTTTCTATAAGGGGGAAACTACTAGTAGTAGTACGCGGGCAGGTGGAAGCCAGAACAAGGGGAGATGCTTGGAAGAAAACAGTGATACTCTAGAAGTACTGTGCTGCTCAATGAAATCCAGTCATGTGACTCACGTTTGCGCCGGCTTACACCATCATGTCATTGGCATCAGTTCTCAGTCCGGTGTGTAGGGCTGCCCGGCGCCCGGCGCGTGCTCGAGTGACGCGACTGGATTTCGTGGAGCAGCACTGGTACTATTATGTTGATGTCCTCACACACAGTCATTATTCTAGTCAGTGAATTTTGCTTTACAGCATCCGGCAGAAGCAGCCCGTAAATTCCTGCATATCGGTATTCGTGATCGAAGTGCAGGCGCATGCACACATGCAGTACTCTACGACTACATGCACGTTGCATTTCGTCACGGCAGCTTTTGTTCAAAATAATTGGTCTGGAAGTTTGGTTCAGAGCACATGGATATTTCCCGGTCATGTTCAATGTGCAAATTGACTGTCACGGGAAGAAGAACAAGGACAGAGGCCAGTCTCAGGCTTTGATTCCCTGATTGGGTTATGCACATGTTTAGTACCTTGCATTCATCAGAGTGCCGTCGGGATTTTTTTAATGATTCACTTGATTACGCAGCAAGACTTAGTACAGTTCAGTGATATGCGATATGTCAGTGTGCTTGGGTTTCAGTGCCAGTGTGTGTGCTGCAGTGCATGGCTGTGCATCATGCATGTGGCAGTGATCACATGTACCATGACTGTACAGTGTTGTATTATGATGTAATGCATTACGTAGCCATGCAAGAGCATGCGCGAGATACGCATCTCGCGGCTGCCTACTTTCATGCAGCATCCTTTTTAGATGTTCGGGTTCATAGGATTAACTTGTTTACCCCGAAACATACAGCACCGCCATAATTATTACTCAACAGAACTGAGTACTACTACTATTAAAGCCCTAAGGAGAATCGAAGCAAATGATGGGCTCTTATTGCAAATGAATTACTTGTAACCTGGAAATTGTGGGCACAGGTTATGCAATCGAGTAGAAAAAACGAAACTACTTCAAGTACTACTATTAGAACAGGCGGCGAGGTGACAAAAGTTCAAGGATGGCAATAAACAGAATCAGCTGAAGCGTCATGTTACGAAGGTTTTATCGAGATGTCACGAACAAATTCTAGAGAAAGTGGTGATAGCTACTATTCCAATTTAATTGAAGAACTGCAATTTTCAGGTTCTGCTATCAGTGGAGAAATATGGAACTGAGGTAGCAAACATCAATGAAACAATGTTTTACCTATTTGCTGCAGAACGTGAGATAAACAAACCTCAACGTCCGCCCAACAGATTTGCTAGCAATAACACTGGCCATGCTTCAGGTGATACTAGTGTGTGATAACGGTGTCTAGGGACACCCCTATGCGATCTTCAAACTCACACAATGGATAACGTGATTGCATTATCATGAAGAATGTATTTGCAAGTCCTCAAGAAGAAGTTCCTTTTCCACACAACAGCAACACGCACATGCACCAACAGCACACAATGTTCATACCTGATTCCGGCGTCTTGCAGAATCATGAGGGACACGGAGTGTATAACACCTCATTCGAACGAAAGAAAGCTAACCAGACTAGGAGGAAGTTGAAGACTTTGAATCGCCTTGACCACACCATAACCGTGACATGCTTCAATGATAGCAGCGCGACACAAACGTGCCAGCGATTTGGGCTTCGGCTTTGGGGCAAGAACGTCGAACAAGCTCACGTTCCGCTGCACAGCTGTTAGCTCCACATCACACTGGCAAGACGGACCATCGTGAAGATTTCCATCAACAAATGGAATCTCATCCACCGTTGATATACCAGGTAGACCGCCGTGTTTCACCAGCAGCTGCACAAGGGGATCAGCGGTTGTTCTTGATAACAAAAGCCTGTCAACAACGGCTGGTATACCATATCCATAATGCCTATTGCCCGGAGGGAGCATTTCACCAACACGCTGTCTCGTCTCCTCGTTGACACATGATGCGAGAACATGATCTATTAGGGGATATCCATAATATAATGCCCTACTCCAATAGAGGAAAGGATCAGACATTGTGGTCTCGAATCGGACAGGAGGTGTACCACGCATTTCTGCCTCAGCATTCTCCACTCTACACCATGCCATGCACAGTGCATCAGCGTTGGAGACGGACAAACAAGCAGGCTCTGCACCCTCTTGCAGGAGATGTCTTACCATACCAGTGAGTTCGGTAGGGTTCATCAAGGATGGGTCCTTGAAGTGCTTGGCTAAGCAAACATTTCTCATTATCAGCGAACAACAAAACTGTTTGCATATCCGTTCAGCATCTGTGAAGCAAGGCATGTCCAGCAGGGATCTTCGTAATTGGCCGGATACTTTCTGCAGTAAAGATGCAATGGAGGAATTGCAGCATGCTGCATCCCAGCGACAGTACGGCATCATTCGCATTGCACCTTCCTCATTACCGCTTTGCTGTACCCGGCATATTTCCATGATCGGTGGAGGGTACTTGGGATTCATGCACAGAGCTTCACAAGTTGTAGTATCATCTCTGCATCCAGTGTACGTTGAGAAGAATGCGAAACCAAGGCCTTTTCTATATCGACTGCCACCATGATAAGGTGATGCACCGTACGTTAGAAGACACCTCACTATACCAGCGTGTTTCAAACATGCTGCAACACAAATTGGGGTACGCTTCCAACGCTGCCTATGGTGTGATTGCCGACCTCCAACATGGTGCAAAGCCAGCGTTGCATCAGCTCCCCATTTCAACAGGCATCGTACCATCTCCTCATTACCAGTAAAGATGGCACAGTACAGCAATGTTGACCTGAAGTTGTGTTCGTCACCGCACTCCATATTCACAAGTTCTTGAATATCTGGTGGAGCGTAAATTACTCTTTCCGTCTGATTTGGTGACGGAGAGACTTGGGGCAACGCTCGCTGACAGGGAACGCCACTGCTGCTTTTGTGTTCGGGATCCACATTATCTATGCGACGCTTGCCTCCAATATTTGCGCAGAACTTCACTCTGTTAGGAGTTGTATCACCTCCAGGGCAGGCTGAGGAAGTCCAAGGTTCGGTAGCGGTCTCTCCAAGTCCACCCCTCCTCTTAGAATTATTCAAAATTTGCAGGACATGCTCGACGGACGCTACGTTTTCATTGCTCACCAACTTTCGCAGAAAGACCAGTATTTCCGAGAAATCCTTGCAACCGCTTTCCGAATTTTCTCCAGTAGCGATACAGATATCCAGCGTTATTTCATTCTCAGGTTGGCTGACTTGATCAATCTCTAGAAGTAATTCTATGTCTTCCTCGAGGTATCCACGATGCCGATGGTAGTCCATGGCGAGAACCTGTCCTTCTCAGGCTTCTGTCGACAGCAGCGAAATATGAACAGTTCACCACTTGCTACACGTCACTTGATTTATACTTCATGTACGTGTATGATGTAGTACTCTGACACTACGGTCTACCGGAACACGTTTCTGCCTGTGAGCCTGTGACCGTAACCAGGTAACGCGCCCGCGACGACGTACACAGTAACACATGACTGTACTTCCAAATCACAGTATTATTACTACAGACAGTGCTAGTGTACTAGTACATGTAGTAGTACAGTAGTACAAGGAGAAGGTGTCATGCACGGATGTCTGCACTTGTTCGTCCTCATGTACAAATCGCCCCGACGTTGCCATAGATGGAAACGTGCCGGACGCAGAGTAGTCTGGCGATGAACGCTAGCAGCAGTAAACACTTCAGTCAAACGCGGAACATCCTCATTGCATTTGAGTGCCTTATCCGTCTTCATCACAATATGTCTGCATTGTATGTTCTGGTCATAGACAAATCTAGAATATAAAATAATGTCATGTTCATTTATTATTTTATTCATTCAAAAATTTAATGTTAAAGGGGAAGTATACCCTAAAATCAATTTTTCACCAGTTGTAGTCTTCGGGTTGCTGAGTCGATTGGTCTTGGTCCGAGGAAGCTGAGACGCTCCCTTCCTACTTGAATCCCAATCGAACTCGCGCACTTCCACCGAAACTGGGTGACTGCGCCCTACTAGATGGGGATTTGTATGCAAAATGTCACTAAAAGCGCCATTTCGTTCTTATAAAAGCACGGATGACCGCGATTGGCCCATATGTTGTAGTCTTTTGGACGCTGAGTCGACTGGTTTTAGTCCGAAAAGGCTGCGATGCAGCGTTCCTCCTTTATTCCCAATCTAAAATCAAATTTTAGGGTATACTTCCCCTTTAAAGGGGAAGTATACCCTAAAATCAAATTTTCACCAGTTGTAGTCTTCGGGGTGCTGAGTCGAATGGTCTTGGTCCGAGGAAGCTGAGACGCTCCCTTCCTCCTTTATTCCCAATCGAACTCGCGCACTTCCACCGAAACTGGGTGACTGCGCCCTACGAGATGGGGATTTGTATGCAAAATGTCACTAAAAGCGCCATTTCGTTCTTATAAAAGCACGGATGACCGCGATTGGCCCATATGTTGTAGTCTTTTGGACGCTGAGTCGACTGGTTTTG